ATGATGATCAGATCTACATTTTTCTGCCAGACTAAAATATTCAAAGATATCCAAAGGGATGGAAAGCACACTATAAAAAGAAGATTGTATGAAAGAGGCCAAGCTCTTCAGTTTAATGTTTAAAAATAAACTTCTCCTTTCATAGAATTCCAACATGGTTTTGTTTAAAGAAATAAAATGGGTTGAGTGTCTCTTATTGAAATGAAAATAGACTCTGAGTGCTGCCATAACACTGTATGTATAATGGTTATAAACATAAAGGTGACAGTCCACAGAGGGAGTTTGGGAGGAAACTCTGAAAAGGTAGATATTTATCATTTATTTCAGTGTATTAACTCTACTATGAGTTGTGCTTTTTTATTTTTATTATTCTTTCATTGTGCATCTTATTAATTAATAGTGAATCAAAGACCCAACTCTCTGAGGTCTTAACTTCAAAAACCATATAAATTGAAGCTACTGTATGTCAGGCAATTTATTGTAATTAACCCAGAGATTTCATGTCACTTATTAATACACTAGAGGCCCTGTGCACAAAATTCATTCATGGGGATGTGTGTCCCTCAGCCCAGCCTGCACTCTCTCCAATATGGGACCCCTTAAGAGATGTCTGACTGCCTGTTTAGGCCCCATTGTACCAGGACTAATGGCTCCCAACTGCTCACCTGCCTGCCTGATTGCTCCTAACCGCTTCTATCTGCCACCTGATCACCCCTAACCACTACCCTGCCAGCCTGATGGATGTCTAACTGCTCCTCTGCTGGCCCAATTGCCCCTAACTTCCCTCCTCTGCCATCTTGGTCACCCCTAATTGCCTTCCCCTGCCAGCCTGGTCTCTCCTAACTGTTCTCCAATGCAGGCCTGGTTGCCTCCAGTTGCCTTTCCCTGCTGGCCCCATAACTCCTAACTGTTCTCCCCTGCTGGCCTGGTTCACCCAAACTGCCCTTCTTTGCTGGCCTAGTTCCTGCCCAACTTCCCTCCCCCTGTAGGCTTGGTCCCCCCAACTTCCTTCCCCTTCAGGCCTGCCCCCCACCCAACTGCCTTCTCCTGCAGGTCTGGTCCCCCCTCAACTGTCCTCCCCTTCAGGCCTGGACTTAAAAGGCTAATATGCAAATAGACCGAATAGCAGAACAACGGGAAAAACCAAACAATTGAACAACTGATTGCTACGATGTGCTCTGACCACCAGGGGCACGGGTGGAATATGGCAGGCATTGGCTGCAGCAGGATGTTGAAGCAGGTTAGCCGGGGTGCCAGACCAAGGCAGGGTGAGCCTCTGGTGGTTACTGAAAATTCTTTGCTCCCGCACACCTCAGTCCTGCCTGGTGCTCGCACCCACTGCCAGCACCAGCCCCACTTGCACCCACAGCTGGTGCCTGGCACTGGTCCCAATCACTCAGTACCATCAGTGGGTGCAAGCAGTGGCTGCTGGTCCTGATTGCCCCTGAGGGCTTCTCCATCTCCTCCTGCTCCTGAAGGTGATTGGGGCAGCAGCTGCTGGCACTGGCCCCAATCACTCTGTGCTGTCAGCAGGTGTAAGTGGGAGTGGCAGTGGAGAGACTGAGGCTGCCAGCAGACAGTGATAGGGGCCATGTGGGGGCACAGAGGATGGGCTAAGACCTGCCCTGTGCCCACTGCAGCCTCATGGCCCTCAGCTCCTTTCAAGATGCACAAATTCATGCACTGGGCCTCTAGTTTTAATATAATAGTGCTGTCCAATAGAACTGTATGTGATGAGACTTTTCTCTAATTTGCACTGCCCATTCTGTCAGTCATTAGTTATAAATCACTATTGAGCTCTTGAAATGAGGCAGGTATGACGGAGAAGTTGAATTTCCAAATTGTATTTAATTCTAATTAGTTGAAAAATCCACAATCTGATCCACAAGTATCAGATTGAATATCCTGAATATAATACTTTCTCATACTCAAACTACATAAAATTATTTTATTAAAATCTAATGTTTTACCAAATATCCTTCTAGTAAGTAATTAGTTGTTTTATTTTTTAACTAGCTTTTGGAAATACTGTCTCTAAAGTTTTTTCTCTGGATGCAAGAACATAGGACACTAGAACAAAACATATCTCCTTACTCTATAGCTTAAAGACTATAGTTATATCAAACCTAAAGAACTGTGGCATTTATTTTGTGTACTATATCCTTAATATTTATGTTGTGAACAATGATAAATCAATTGCACTTTTAATGGCATAGGATTATCAAAATGGCTTCATAGGGCTAAAATTGAGAGCACTGTATCTATTGTATGCTTTCCATAAATTCATTGTCCACATATAATTTTTCATGTCCAGTGATGACTATACTATTAAACTATTAATTAAAATATTTTAAAAAACATCTTGGGAAATGAAAATAAATTATATTGTCTCAATTTATGTGAAAAATATGCATTAGTGTCCTTTCTCTTTTTCATGATTGTGCTATTATCTCTTTCCTGTGAATTGGGGCAGTTATTGATATCACTACAACTAAATGAATACATTACAAAGGAGCAGACTTGTATTGTTTATTGGACTCTGAAGAAAGTAGTATTAGATTATCTTAGAGATAGATATGAAGAAAACTTTCTTACAGAACAATGTACTTTTTGGTTTCTTAATTTTCATCTTTGCCTCCTTCACATCATCAGAAACTACTAGAGACTCTCAGCATGTCTGTAAGAGACTGACTCAGTGTGCTAAGAAACAGCAAACAACAAAAACTCATTGGCTTTTCTTTGATTTTCCCTCACCCCACATTTATACATTAAACTGCTCTTGCTTATTTCATCAATGCAAGACTGCAAATTCATCTTTAATTTCGTCTGCCACTAATGCTGGCACAGAAATTTTATAATTAAAGTAACTTTATAATTAAAGAATATTAATGACTAGAATAGCTGGCCAGATAAGCCTATGACATATTCCTTACTTCATAATATGGAGGACATGCAGTTTATCTATATAGCATTAATTATTTGGTACTTAAAGATAAAACTATCCTATAAGACAAAATAAACAAGTTGCTTAAAGTGAAAAAAATACATAAAACAGACCAAGTTGAGTAATATGCTTGCAGCACTATGTATATACGTGTTAGGAGCGACTCTAATGTACAAAAGGATTACTTGCTCAATAATGCCTGAAATGTTCCCATTTATTTACAGCAGCTGTGAACACAAATATATGGTTATAAAGAAAGACAAGATATATTTCATCATCTCATGTTTATTTACTTTGGAGCAGTTGAACAATATTCAAGCATTTTGAACCTTTTGGGGTAAAGTCATTCAAAAAGCATTTGATACACCTTCCTTTCAGAAGCTTACATTAGGTTATCTTTTAGTAATTGGTTTTGAGAACTTTAATTCCTTAAGGCTATCTGGAGATTAAAGGTCGAATTTGCTAAACTTTTGTAGTGTCAGTAAATTTTAAGACAATATAGCCAGGAATCAATATCCTGTCATTAAAAAATTGATCATGTAATTGATGCCAGAACTCAGAAATCTATATTCACAACTTGCTTTATGAAGCTTCACACAGAACAAAGAGAATAAAAATGTAATGTACTTTTTTGAAACTAAATGAAACGTCTTTTCTAGTGACTTTTCCATGAAATAAACTGGATTTAATAATATACAATACATTGGACAAATAAATGAGATGACTCGTCATATTCTTAACAGAAATTTTGTCTTAATTTTATGCCATGTTAAAAGAATGTCCTATTTCAAACTAGTATGCTGCTGATTTATTTTCTAGTCTGTATAAAGTAGTGGTAAAAATTAAAATTTGAAATGATAAAGTTACAAGTGTAGAAAACATTTTTTTCTTTATGGGAGTCTTGTGCATATATTATATTATGAGACAAGTGCATTACATATTAGAATAGAATAGAAATCAATATATTGTGACCTCTTACTTTAATTAAATTGAATGCCATAGGCATGATTTTGAATTTTAAAAAAATGAAAAAAGATAGAAAATCAATGTATTTAATTCAAATTAAATCATCACCATGAAAAATGTTTAGGTTAAAATAGGTTTGAATACCTTTTGTCAAAGCATGAAGCAATAGCACCCAGGTGGATTACAAGTTTACAAATACACAAATGGAAGAAAAAGGAAAGAAAGCGCTTCCAAAGAACAGAAAACATTTATATTTCATCAGAGGATTAGGGAAAGGTGGGAAAGAGAAATTATAACTTCTTAAATACTCCTTTCAAACAGCAATTCCTGCAGAATATCTGCCCATGTAGCACTGCTAACTCTCTCATGCAATTTTATGAGAAACAGAATTGGCAAGCTTTCTCAAAATGTGTCTTTCTTTGCTACAGCCCTTCTAGCACAATTAAAATAATAATTTATTCAGTGTGTTTCTTAAACTTTAAATTTGACTTTTAGCAGTGGAAAATTTTCTTTAAATCTAAGACGTTATATTATATACAAAATCATTCCATATTCTAAGTACACATGTTCATTTCTATGTTTCTCTGAGCTTATTTATAATCTTCAGATTATACATTTATTCTTTTTAGTTAAGGAATTAACAACTACCCATTTCTCTCTTCTTTTTACAATATAAATATATATATTTTCATAGCATTCTTCTTGTATGCTAAAGCAAAATTTGGCTTTTCTGGTCATTTTTTAAAAAAAATAAGGTCTGTGTGGCACTGATTACTAGGGTTTTAAGAAGTGTTTTCCAGAGAATTTATAAATTTCTCCTAATATGCTAAATTTCTGGTCCATAAATAAGTTATATTTGGGTTTGTTTTATTGTTAAATATATTTTTATTGATTTTTTTTACAGAGAGGAAAGGAAAGGTATAGAGAGTTAGAAACATCCATGAGAGAGAAACATCAATCAGCTGTCTCCTGAACACCCTCTACTGGGGATGTGCCCACACCCAGGTACATGCCCTTGACTGGAATTGAACCTGGGACCCTTCAGTCCGAAGGCCAATGCTCTAGCCACTGAGCTAAACCAGTTAGGGCTATATTTGTGTGTTTTGAAAGCATATCCAATGCAAAAGCTTAAATTACAGAAACATCACAGATATTGCTGAGAATCAAACTTTCTAGACTATCAAACTTTTTGCTTTGATAGGTCAATTAAAAATAATTTGGATCATTTTAAAGAAATCACTTTCCAATACTTATACTCTTTAATGCCTTATTAAACACAGTATATAAAACAGATTAGGTGAGTCAGTAACATCAAAAAGATTGAATATTGTACTATTGTTAAAATTTACTGTGCTAAAATTATGTGTACTTACACGGTCTCAAACTATACTGGTGATCTACTACTTGATATTCTTTGACTTTCCCACCCTTTCATTTGTTACTTCTGTGAGTAGTTCTCATAATCAGCCACTGTTCTCTTAATTATCAGTTGAAATTGAGAGAAATGGAAAGTTATTAGGGGACACAGGATGTCCAAGCTTAACAGATGAATAATATCCTTCACTTCCTAACTACAAGTCAATATGCTCTGACCTGCAGATATTTTCTCAGTTCTCTGGAAGACTAAAATTTATGGGTTTAATTATTGTTGTTTTTTATTTGCTCAGAATTTCTTTTGCTTATTTCTATAACTAAGACTGAGTTTTATTTGATTGAAAATGACTGAAATTTGAATAAAATATGAGAAGTCTAATTTTGTAATTATTACCCAAGAAGTCCATAGATAAAGGATAAGAAAAAGTAAAAGCATTAAAGAGAAAACACACAGCATTGTCTTTGTTTTTGTTCCCTAATATTGACAGATTGCACCTAAATGTTACAGAAACAAATTAGTCTTCGGTTATTCTTCAACTGCATAAATGTAAAAGGTAAATGCATATAGAAAGCATTTCACTACGTCATGCTGTTTCTTAGAAAAATAAAGTTTGGGGCCAAGCAATCATTCCTGAACAACTAAAATGTAAATTTAAAAATATCCATGCATTGAAATGATCTGCATAATTTACTTGAAGCTATAACAACACTGGGATGTGATGGACCTAAGTTCAAGCTTTGGAAAGCATTTGCAGAAGGTCAGTTCCTTCAAAGTTTACTGATTAAGGAGTGTGAAGAACATCTGAAGCATCTTCCATGTTTCTGTGACATTTCACCCAAGGAAGTCACATCTGCAAAAATGAAAGTTGAAATGGTTAAAGCTATAAAGAACTCTGAAGATAAGGGGAAATCCACCAACTGCAGCTGAGAAGAGCCAAAACTCTAATTACTTGGTGTTTCATTATGGCTTTTATTTATGCGGCATATTTTTATTACAAAAACAACATGCAAAATGTTAAATTCTGATTAAATATGTTACAAAGAGCATTTTTTATGTATAAATGAGATACTTGTGCTCAAGCCATACTTCCTTTGTTTGGGTACCTGCTATAATCTATTTCTTTTGAGATTTCAATCTTGGTTCAAAGGATGTTGCTGTGGTAAACAGAAGAAAGATAAGAAAGGCTGCCTACTATCTTCTGTTTATTTTTATGATAACACATTGATATTTGTTGTACATTCTGCTCTATTTAAAGGAAACAACCACATAATGGCATTTAAACATGATATTTCTGTTATTTGAGTTATGTTAATTTGAATCATGGCCTGTTATTAGGTCTAGTAATAATTAATGTCGTTTTCTAATACTTTTTTAAATCAAATTTATTTAAACAATACAACAAAATTTAATCAACAATATAGTTGCCGTTGTTTTCTACTACTTGTGCCCAATGCTCAGAAAGCATTTTAATCCCTCTGTTGTAAAATTCTTGTGATTTTGATGCAAAAAATTCGGTCAATGCATTTTTGAGGCATTCTTCATTATTAAATTTTTTTCCAAGAAGAAAGTTTTGCAAAGAACAAAACAAATGGTAATCGGAAGGGGAAATATCAGGAGAATATGCAGGTTGAGGGAGAACTTCCTGTTCCAACTGGCGCAGTTTTTCAGCAGTGATTCTTGCAGTATGCGGTCGAGCGTTACCGTGGTGAAGAATTACGCCCTTCCGATTAATCAGCGTGGGTTCTTTTTCTCTTTAAACTTGGGCTAACCTTTCCAATTGGGCACTATACACTGCACTTGTAATGGTTTGGTTAGATGATAAAAGTTCATAATGAAGAATTCCTTTAAAATTCCACCAAACACACAACATCACTTTTTTCGCATGCAAGTCAGGTTTTGGCGTGGGCTGCGGGGCCTCATTTTTGTCCAACCATTGAGGCCGCCTTTTCAAATTAACATACAGCACCCATTCTTCATCTCTGGTAACAATTTGCTCTAAAAATGGCAAACGGTTTTGACAAGAGAGGAGCGAACTGCAAATTGTGACTCTTTGATTACGGTTGTGGTCGGTCAACTCATGAGGAACCCATTTTCCAAACTTTTGGACTTTGCCAAGTGCACGCAATTGATTGGAAATTGTTTTTGTGAACAATTTAAAGTTGTCGCAAGCTCTTGTTGGGTAATTTGAGGATTTTGCACCAAAAGAGCTTGAAGAACTTCTTGATCAAAATTGGACACACGGCCTCGACCACTCTTGTCATCTAACGAAAAATTTCCCTCGCGAAATTTCTCAAACCAACACTGGCATTTTCTGGCGCTAACTGCATCTTGACCAAGAGCACTACAGATGTTTTTTGCAGCCTCACTTGCTTTTCTTCATAATTGGAACTCGTAAAGCATGCAGTGCCGAATATGCTCTTCATCCGCCATCTTCTTAGCCCTAGTTTTGCAACAAAAACCAAACCAAACACAAACTTTTTCAAGCAAAACTTGTTAATTGCACTTCACACATTCTGTAGATACCACGTGTTTGAAGGTTATGTCAATACAAATCAACGCCAAGCAAGATTTTAAACGAATGTTTAAAAACGACATTAATTATTACTAGACCCGATAATATTGTTCTAAAATAAAAATTTCCAGTATAATACAGCACATTTGCCTCACATTATTTAAAGTCTTAAAGCATGTGACGGCACAGGGGAGCACAACTAATAGTCATATTTCATCAAGTAGGAGTCCTGATTTCAGTGACAGAGGCTCAGAACTTGCTACTTGCATCTACAGAATTTATGAAACCTAGACAAAATACCTCTCTGAATTTGAGTTGCTTAGTGCTGGGGTTTATTAAAATTTCAAACCTTTGGGCCAATGCATTAGTGATTTGAGGAGAATATTGAGTAAATATCAGGTTATTTTCTTTTTCAAACACATATCAGGGAAGAGGTTAGCCATTTTTTCCTGAAAACTAGATAACAAGCATGAGATGTTTCTAGACTTAACCTGAAACGAAGCAAAACTTTCATGATTAGCACTAGTTTCACTTTTAGTGTGAAGACTTATAGTGAAACACAGAAGGTAAAAACCCACAAATAAACCTGCTCTAAAAGGGTATACATTTCCTCCCACAAAAGTGAAGCCAAGATTTTTACAAAGTGTGAGATACTGTGTTTGTTTTAGAATTGTATAATCAGTAATGTTAACATATCAATGATAATTTAGCATCCACAAGACCATATAGATCATAAAGAGAATATTGGCCTCGAAGGCCAGTGACCTAGTTCTGGATCTTGCTCTATCTGAGGGTCGGTCTGTAAAATTTGGGGCAAATCAATTTCCTCTCATAGTGTCTGTGTTCTTGCTAAAAAAAAAAAAAAAAAAAAAAAAAAGGTTAAACCAGACTTTATGTTCTTGAATTTCTATCAACTTAAATTCATAACTAAGTCATTACAGATTATTGTGATGACTCAAATTATCTATTAAAAGATACATGCATTACATTTTCTATATAATCCAAAAGAACACTGTGACAAAAGAAAAATATTGTAAGTTGAATGGAAATTAAAAATATATATTTTATGTCTTTCATTTTCATGCACTATAAAAGATGAAACTTCATATGAGGAAGTCACAATATATCTGAGAAATCTTGGTGATAATGGCATAAAATAAAGACTCTCTCTCTATATAAAAGCCTAAGCAACCATTAAGACTGGACAACTGGCCAATTGGGTGACTGGTCGGTTGCACTGACCACCAGGGGGAAGATATTCAATGCGGAGCTTCTTCCTAGTAGTCAGTATGATCCCACAGCCAACCTCGTCTGGTTCCTCTCCTCCTTCCCTCCCCTGCCAACCAGGCCAAGAGACTCCATCTGTGCACAAATTCATGCACCAGGCCTCTAGTAGAAACATAATTGTTGAGTAGGTGAACTCAACAATGGTTGATAAAAGGGAAAGATAGAATGTATGATGTTCAATTCTTTCCTAAACTTAATTTTTATGATATAACCATCTCAATTTTTTAATAATAATGTGGTTGTCATAACATTCAACAAAGTCTGTTAATTCCCACAACAATTCTGTAAAAAACATATTAATTCAAGTCCCTTTTAGTAATTTAGTATCTGAAGTTCTTATTGTCTAAAACTTTATATGAAAATTTATATTAAAAATTAGAGTCTTATAATTAAAAATATATATATTTTATTGATTTTTTATAGAGAGAAAGGGGAAGAGATAGAAAGCTAGAAACATTGATGAGAGAGAAACATCGACCAGCTGCCTCTTGCACACCCCCTACCGGGGATGTGCCTGCAACCAAGGTACATGCCCTTGACTGGAATTGAACCCGGGACCTTTCAGTCCACAGACCGACGCTCTATACCACTGAGCCAAACCGGTTTCGGCGAGTCTTATAATTTTTGATTATCATAACCTGTTTTGGTCGAATTCAGAAACACTAAAATAGATAATAATCAAAGTTGGCCAAGGTAATAGAGTACATATCTAAACTAATCAAATATAATTATTTTAATCACAGTGTAATAACATTCCCAGTACATGAAAAAACTGGAGGATTGTGACTCTGATTTCAAGGAGTTACTTGATATTTAATAGCAATTAGCTCCTACTCAAATGTAATGTGGTGATATTCAACAACCCTGAAGAATGACCATACTTGGTATATTACTATTAATATATACAAAGTTCAATGTGAGATGTAATGATGGTGCTTTCCAAAAGCAGTGTTCTTGGCAGCATTCAGTAAGTCCTCCTGTATTTATAAATAGTGGAAGTAGTAATAGTACCTACTTTATGAAACAGAATGACTAAATGAAGCAATGCATATTTTACACTAAGTATAGGGCCCAGCACAGAGTAATGTTCAGAACTATATTAAAAGGTATTATCATATACATGTATTGTTGATCCAATACCTTCTAGCATCTAATTTAATCTTCATAATATCACAGTGTTATTATCTAAATTAGGGGTGTCGAACTCAATCAGAGAAGGGGCCAAAATCTAAAATCCAGCCTAAATCGCTGGCCGAATGGTTTACTGAACAGTCATAAACTGTCATTGTGATGGAAACGCAGCGGAGTGCAGTGATGACAGTGTGGTGCGGGCCACATTGCAAGGCCTGGCGGGATGGATTTGGCCCGCGGGCCTTGTGTTTGACACATGTGATCTAAATATATAAACTATCTCTTTCCATATAAAAGCCTAATATTCAAATTGTCCCTGCAGGAGTTCAAGCGGGGGAACCACTCATTCACTACGACAGACATGCGCTGACCACCAAGGGGCAGTTTGGAATGAAGGAAGGCCCTGGCCAGTGTCCTGAAGGCCCTGATCCCTGATCAGTCCTAATGCCGGCCAGGCCTAGGGACCCTACCAGTGCATAATTTTCATGCACCAGGCCTCTAGTAGAGAAACAAAGTATCTTGATGGAAACAAGATAATGAGTGATAGAAGCAAAATTTGGATTATATGTTCTGATTCTATGGCTAATACTCTTTCTGCTATACCATTCTCTCTACTGTGTTCCATGTGATCATACTTCTGGTATTGTTATTTGCAATAAAATAGTGTATGTCACTGGAAAGTATCTTTTTCATAATAGAGGAACTACTATATTTTGTCTATTTTTAATATAATTTATTATTTTAATTAGAATTTAACCTTTGCTTATATATTAATATTCAATTAGTATATAGGAGTCTGTGATAATATCTAAATCATTTTTTAAAATATATATTTTATTGATTTTTCACAGAGAGAAAGAGAAAGGAACAGAGAGTTAGAAACATCAATGAGAGAGGATCATCGATCAGCTGCCTCTTACACACCCCCTACTGGGGATGTGCCTGCAACCCAGGTCCATGCCCTTGACCAGAATTGAACCTAGGACCCTTCAGTCCGCAGGCCGACTCTCTATCTATTGAGCCAAACCGGTTTCGGCTATCTAAATCATTTTTAAGGTGAAGTAAGATATTCTTTGGATTCTTTAATGCCACTTAAAAATATTTAGCATCAATATATTGATTGAGTACAGAAATGTTTGAAAATGAATTTGCAAACTAGGAAATCGAAAGAGGAATTTATAAACTAGATAGATCAATTAGCCCATTGTGAAATATAAATAAAAACTTTGCATGTATTCTTACACATTTAAATTGTACTCACAATTGGAATCAGTTAGCCTCTGGAATTTGAAAGCCGATTTCCACCAATCCGATCCATGGGGATGCCGAATCGCCTTTTTGGATGATCTACTACTTTCCTGAAACCAACCAAAGAGAACATTTTTAAGCTAAAGTCCAAGTGGTCAATTGTTACTTTTGTTCTTTTAGTTCCTGCAGATCCTGGGGCTTTCTTTGAGAGTTGAAATAACTATGATAGTTATCAATCATCAGCACTCATTCTGTGCTAGACAACATCTCTTATCCTTTTGACATCTGTGGAAGTAGGTGTTATTACCTCCTTTTTACATCTGAAGAAACTGAGGCATGGTGAAACTATTAATAAGTAAGTGACCCAAAGGCAAAAAGCAGATGTAAAGCTAGGTCAGGTGTCGGCAACCTACGGCTCCAGAGCCGCATGCGGCTCTCTTGAAGCTTTACCGCGGCTCCGACAACTTGCAAGCCTGTGTGAAAATGAAGGTAACGTCTTACAGCCCTGATGTGCTGACACTGTGCACTGAGGGTCAGGAGCAAAAATCCCATTAACCAGGTAAATTAAATATTTTAATTAGCTATTAATTTGCAAAAATATATTTTACATTGTTAAGTGAAAAAGTCCTTTTTTTCTTCACATTGACAGCTAACTGCACGATCCGGTATATAGCATTAAGGTAAGAAACAATATATGCAATGTTATATTTGTTTTAAAATCGCAATGGTTTTGAGGCTCCCAGGTTTTTTTTTCCTTCGGAAACGGGTCCAAGTAGCTCTTTATGTCTTAAAGGTTGCAGACCCCTGAGCTAGGTCCTATCAGCAAACCAATTTGCTTGTTATTCATTCATTTATTATTATTATTATTTTACTTAATTCAGCCTTTTCTGCTGATTCACACTCATCTTCCTTTTTAGGTTGGCCTTTAGTTTTGCTAGTTAATGCAGATAACATTGTAAGTATGAACTGGTCTTTTGGAGACTAGTTTGATCAGTGGACCATAAATACAGGTTGGCAGGGGTGAGGGGGGTAGGGGTGGGGGGGGTGGAGGGGTGGGGAACAGTGCTTATACTCAACCTATCCATACCTCTGCCTCCATTCTTCAGAGTTCCAAAAGACACACCCTCTTAAGTGGTGCCTATTTATTGTACTTCTTGATTTCTTGACATTAAATTAACTATGTATTTTTCAACTTGATAATTTAATGGAAAACATGATCTGTAACTTAGCATAAAATTAATGGTCAAGAATTATTAAGAAGCTGTGCATACCAGTCAGTGTGCTTTAGGTCTTCTGATGTCATTATAAATAATGACTTGAAACAGAGTTTATTCTTGTACTATTTATTTTTATTGGATTACTTTTCATATAAACAACTGTAAACCTACTTTTGCCCTACCCTGACTTTTTCCTTATTTTTATTCACATAAGTAAATTTACAGACTCTTAATCATTTCCTTGTGGTAATCAGAATAATGCCCTCCCCCAAGGGATGTCCATGTTATAATCTACAGAATCTTTAAATATCTTTTTATATAGCTAAAGGGACATTGCAGATAGAATTAATAAAGATCTTGAGATAAAAAGATTATCCTGGATGATTTAGGTGGGCTCAATCTAATCACAGGAGTCCTTAGAAGTGGAAAATGACTGAAGTGGGTGGATCAGAGAGTGCAATCTGAGGACTTAACTCACCTTTGCTGCCCTGGAAGAAGGAGGAAAGAATCAGGAATCAAGGATGACTGCACTGTGGCCTCTAAAAGTTCTTAAAAGAAAATAGGACCTCAGTCCTATAACCAAAGAACTTGAATTCTGCCAATGACTGAGTGAGCAGGGAATTAAGCCCCTCCTGGGCCTCCAAGAAGGAGCACAGGACCTCCGGACTTCTTCTGTACCCCGCTGGCAGACCAGGCAAAAGAGTGAGCACAGAACTGCATGAAGGAGGAATTTTAGGGGCCACCCATTGGCAGGCAATCAATCGTGTGGCTGCACCTAATTGAAAAGAAGACTGAAAAAAAGGTTTTTAGACTCATACATAGTGACTGGTGAGGATATACTGCACTTCTGACCTACACATTTGTGAGATAATAAATTTCTGCTGTTTTAAATCCAGAGTTTTGTGGTAATTTATTGCCATAGCAATAAAAAAATGAATACGTATGTCTGTATGATTTAGGGTTGATGGCTAAGTGCGATGTGGTTAATATGTAAAAAAATAAAAATAAACTGATGTGATTTGATTCTTTTAATCCTTAAATTTCTGTATTAATTACCACCATTATAACTTCTGGAGAGGGTAAGATGGAAGCCATCCCAGGTTGGAGGAGAGTGCTCAGGGGAAGTCCCAGACAAGCAGAAAGAGGAAGTGGGAAACCAACCCCTTCCAGATGGTTAAGGGATGGGCAAGAGAGGAAGGCATTGACACCTGGAAAAAAGGGTAGTGCTTCACTCTTGTTACAGGAACCTTGGGAAGTGGGTTCCTGTAACATGAGTGGTGCCATGAAAAACAATCTTTTTACTTTAAGAGAAATGCCATGGTCTTATGCACCATTGTAAATTCAAACAACATGTATTCATCCATACTACCAGTGTGTTGTTGTTGTTGTTTTCAAACATGAAGGTATAATAAATGAAAATAGCATTTTTCTTTCTTTACTACAGTTGATCTTTTCCTGCTCAAGTATAATATAATAAATGAGAAGCAGTTGTGGTATGGTGGAAAGCAAAATAAACTCTCTTTTCTCTTCTTTCTGTCTTTGTTCTATTCTTCCCTTTCCATCTTTTCCCATATTTGGTCCAAAAAGTATTAGGAGACAGAAGATGGTAGATGTGGATTCTATATGATTCTTCTACTTACTGACAGAGTACATGTTTATAAGTCTTTTATCATTCTGAGCTTCTCTTTTCTTCTTGTTAAATTCAGATAATACTTGCTCTACCTGTTTATTCACTTAGCACCCTTGTTTATTTTAATTGGTTTTGCATAACCACATGTAACTTATCCTCTGCACTGCAGATACTGAGGTGAAGAAGACATATATTAGCTATGAGAGCTCACATTGTACTTGAGAGAAGCTAAAGAAGTAACACATCTGAAAACATTTTAACTGATTTTACTATTCTTTCCTGTCAATCCAGTCTAGTGGTTTTCGAACTATTGGTAGCGTACTATTTCTATAAATAATAGCTTTATAAAAAAAAAAAGAAATATCTAAAAATTTAAGTGAAGAATTGTCTCAGTGAAGTTGTACCCACATTCCCCAAATACGTGGCCCCTGAAAAAACTTCCAGGCACATGGAAGGATCCTGAGGGCAGAGTTTGAAAACCACTGGTCAAGTGGACAGAGACCCAGGTCATGAATGCTTTTGTTTTAGCAATAGATCTATAATTACTTTGATTCATTTTATCAAATTTGGATTGGTTGCAAATATCCACAGTTTATCTTCAATTCAAATAAGAAAGACAAATAAAACAGATATGAAAAATCCATTCAGTATTTAAAATTTTTAGCACTAATAGAAAAAGGAAAGCAATTATTGTCATAAAGCAAATACACAAAAAATAAAATGATCATAGTTCAGTAAGTTAAATAATTTATCTGCAGTCTCCTATTCATTCAGAATTGAAATGGTAAGCTAGTATTTTATTTTAAAAATTTTGCTGATGTGAAACATATATAGCATATATAGCATTACTAGTCTATAGATATACACTGACAAGAATACACAGTGTTTAGAACATAAACATTAGGACAGAAATATTCTGAAGACCAAATGAGGAAACTGTACTTTCTGATTATGTAGTCCCTCTTGTGACAAAATAATGGTATGACACGGCATATATCTACACATATACACATTTAACCCAATCCACCCTTTACATTCTAAGCTATTCTGAAAGTAGTTTAAGGATAAATAACATCAAACTGTGTTTATTTTAAATATAACTATAAACTTCACACTAAAATATAGACTTTCTATTCCTAATAGGATTCTCTTAACATTTATATATTTTTAAATTCAATTTCTAAAAATGTTTTACATCCTAAAGCAAGTTACAAAAATTGTACTTAAACCTTTTGTTGAGAATCACTTCATGCATAAAAAAGAGTTTATAAATGTATCAATATTCAGTTTAAAGAAAAATAAAATGAACATCCCTATTGGTAGTACCAAATTAAGGAGCAAGAATGCGACCAGTACTTTAGAAGTCTCCAATGCTCTTTTCCTCTCATGGCTCACTCCCAGAGGTAACCTGTAGACTGAATTTTGGTCTAATAATTCCCTTGATTTTCCTTATAATCCATACATATTCTTCAAAACTCTCTAGCTGAAATGGTTCTAGAATTTTTTTGAAAAGTTATGTATTTAGCCCTGCCAGCATTGCTCAGTGGTTGAGCATTGACCAGGAGGTCATGGTTCAATTTCTGGTCAGGGCACATGCCAGGGGATCCCCTGTAAGGGGTAGACAGGAGGCAGCTACTCAATGATTCTCTCTTATCATTGATGTTTCTATCTCTCTCTCTTCTCTCTCTGAAGTCAATAAAAATATATTAAAAAAAATAAAAGGTATGTATTTAGAAGTCTACTTTTTTTTTTTTTAGCAAATAATGTAGGTTTTGAGATTTGCCTATGTTAACATGCATAGTTGCTGTTGCTTTATTTTAATTGTATAATATTTTATTGTATGAATATATAACAGCTTATTTATACATTCTACAGTGGATGAAATTTTGAAGTTTTTTTGTTTTGTTTTGTTTTTACTGTTATGTACTGTTCACCTGAAAATGTTGCTATACAAACCTGTAGTGCACACTTAAGGATTTCTTTATAGTATAATTTTTTAGTAGAATTGTTAGCTATGTCTATATGTAATTTTATTTTATTTATTTATTTATTTATAAAATATATTTTATTGATTTTTTACAGAGAGGAAGTGAGAGAGATAGAGAGCTAGAAACGTCAATGAGAGAGAAACATCGACCAGCTGCCTCCGGCACATCCCGTATCGGTGATATGCCCGCAACCAATGTACATGCCCTCGACCAGAATTGAACCTGGGACCATTCAGTCCGCAGACCAACGTTCTACCATTGAGCCAAACCAGTTT